TTTGGTCCAAATCTAAGGTCCTTGTTAAATTCTGTCAATACTCAGGTACATAGAATGGGCTTTTACATTCAGTTCCTACATTAAAAATTTGCTTTATCCTCTACAGGCATGCTTCTCAAGAACAGTTTTAATTATGTTCCATGTTAACTAATCTTGCAATAGTCCTGGCTGGTGTGGCTCAGCTGGTTGGGCCTTGTCCAGTGCACTGAAAGGTTGCTGGTTTGATTTCCAGTCAAGGCACATGCCCAAGTTGACTGGGTTGGGAGCTCAAACCCCTGTGGGGGGCGTGCAGGAGGAGGCAGATAGATGCTCCAGCGCCATTGTTTCTCTCTTTTCCTTTCCCTTTCTCTCTCTCTAAATGTCAATAAAAAACCTTTTAAAGAAATCTTGCAATAAATTAATTATTTGAAAAGTTCTTTAAAAAACTATTGATAGCCCTAGCCGGTTTGGCTTCGTGGACAGAGCGTTGGCCTGTGGACTGAAGGGTCCCAGGTTCAATTCCAGTCAAGGGCACATGCCCAGCTTGCGGGCTCAATCCCCAGTGGGGCGTGCAGGAAGCAGCCAATCAATGATTCTCTCTCATCATTGATGTTTCTATCTCTCTCTCCCTCTTTCTTCCTCTCTGAAATTAATTAATTTATTAATATATATAATTAATTTATTATATATTAATTATTATATATTAACACACACACACATAAACTATTCATAGAAACAGACAAAAATGAAGGAAAGAAGAAGGAAGGAAGGGAAGGTGGGTAAGAGGGAAGAAAGGGAAGTAAGGAAAGGAAGTAAAGGAAGGGGAAGGTGAGGGTAGGAGGACGGAAAGGAGAAAGAGAGAAAGAATAAAGGCAGGGTCAACGAATTTGCCCTAATGACTTTTTTTGTATTTTCTTCTCCCTTTTTTGTAGGAGAAATATACTACTGCTCAACCTCTACTAAAATAGCAGTCCTAGAACTCTGTTAATGTAGCATGTTACAGACACATTCCTGCTCCTAAAGGAATGGGGAGGAGATAATTCCACATGTAGTAAAATCACTTTTAAAATCATATTTACTTTTACCACTGCCTGGATACATGCAATGATTAAATGGTACATATATCTTCCCATAATAAGAATCATACTGAGGAGGTATTTATTTATAAGAATAAGTACTATAGCTATCCTAAAAGACTCTTTTGAAGTCAATGTCCTTGAACATCAGAAGGTTTTCCACTACATACAAGATCTATTTTATTATGAAAGCTTGTGAGCTTTGTAAATTCTTCAAAGCTTAAGTTCTCATTTTGCATGGTAGTGCCCTTCCCCAATTACTCCACACACTGGGACATCAGTTTTATTGTTAAGCAGATCATTAAAATTGACCAATCAGGCAGGTCCTTACACCTGACTAACTTAGTAAATTAGGTGTTTTGGGACATGCACACACTAGGGTCATATTACTTCACTGAAGCACAAGTAATTTACTAACTCTGAGCAAAATCTGAATTGGTACTACGGAGAGAGTGTTCCTAATACCTGTTTTTGGAATGCTAGTTTTCCAATTTGGGGCGGACCAGCTTAAATAAATATTTATATCTATGCTTTATTTTTACTAATACACTTTGGTGAAAATGTTTTACTTAAAGAAATACCAAGGGTAAGACAAATCATTTTACCCCTATTAAAAAATAAACAAGCCTAGCTGGTGTGGCTTAGTGGCTGAGTGCCAACCTATGAACCAGGAGGTCACAGTTTGATTCCTGGTCAGAGCGTATGCCAGGGTTGTGGGCTTGATCCCCAGTAGGGGGCATGCAGGAGGCAGCCAATTGATGATTCTCTCTCATCATTGATGTTTCTATCTCTCTTTCTCTCCCTTCCTCTCTGAAATCAATAAACATGTATTTAAAAAAGATAATAAGCCACATTACTTTCCTACTCAATTGTCAAGTATAAAAGAACTTTCTGAAACATTTGTAAAGCACTGCCAGCCTTTATATCCTCAATCTTTAGAAATCAGTGAATATTTTTGAATGCTACTACATCCAAAGAATGGTGCTTCTAAATTCATCCAAATCTTGTACTACTTGTTTATGTAATTTCTTAATTCTAGCCTTAATAAATTTGGCTGGTTTAGGTCAAGAGAACATAGCCAAAGATATACCTCCTTTAGAAATGAAACTTTGATCTTCTCAAGGTCATTAGTAATGTTATCTAAAATAATAACTTTGGGTAAATAAAATGTATTCATAAAATACTACACACCTTGCAGAAACCAAATAGGACATACTCAAGCAGGTAAAATCTGCTTTTACCTCAACACTGATTCACTTTGAAAGTAGCTGTGCAGTCTACACTTCAAACACAGGAGCTGGCATCTCTTGTTATCAGATTATAAACACAATGCCTATATTATCAAAGAGTTAATTTTCTCCAAACATCTGAAATGTCTCTTAAAGAAATATTGTGTTTCTTTATGTTAACCTAAAATAATATTGAGTTTAGAGAGTTACATCTCAGACTTGTGAGGTTAAGCTCAGGGTTGAGAGGTGTAGCAGGGCACACAACCTATTCCCGTCTGTCTTTTATTTTTATACTGTCCTCCTAACAACATAAGAAAAAGGATTGCTGGCAGATGTGAAAAAAGAAAGCAAGATTTTAAAATAATTTTTAAACTAATAAAAGATATTTTGAAAATAGTCCTTTGCATTCTTCAGAAGGATTAGCAGCAATATTTTGTGTTGGGTTAAAGAAGAACACAGTTTCTGTTCTGAAATGTCTAATGTAGAGGGTAGGTGATTATTAAATTTATTTTTATACAAGTATTAAAACTTCTTGATCATGTTCCAAATCTTTTGGAATTGCAGAAGAGCCAACAGTACCAGCTATGATAAGATTTTGAAATTAGGGCTATACTACTCCTACCATATATTATACCACCTTGACCAGAGGAGTAACTTATTTTTTTAACTTACTGCCTCTAAAGAATCTTCTGATTTACTTTCTTAACTTTAAATAAGAAGTAGAAAAGTTATTAAATTTTCAATATTGTATTAAATATCCTATTGATTTTTTTAATGGAATTAGCTTTTACCTTCAGATTTTTAAAAAAATATATATTTTATTGATTTTTTTACAGAGAGGAAGGGAGCGGGATAGAGAGTTAGAAACATCGGTGAGAGAGAAACATCAATCAGCTGCTTCCTGCACACCCCCTACTAGGGATGTGCCCGAAACCAAGGTACATGCCCTTGACTGGAATCGAACCTGGTACCCTTCAGTCCGCAGGCCGACGCTCTATCCACTGAGCCAAACCGGTTATGGCTACCTTCAGATTTTTCCATCTCAAATTCAAAGGCCCGGCCGGTATGGCTCAATGACTGACCCAGAGGTTACAGTTCAATTCCTGGTCAGGGCACATGCCCAGTTGTGAGCTTGATCCCCAGTAGGGGGCATGCAGGAGGCAGCCAATTGATGATTCTTTCTCATCATTGATGTTTCTATCTCTCCCTCTCCCTTCCTCTCTGAAATAAAAATACCTACATAAATTTAAAAAACCACAAAATATCTTGCTGAAGAAAACTCTACACAAAGAATAAAAATGCATAATCAATTTGCAAGTTATATTACAGAGAATTTCTATTATACTGAGGCCTATTTTAAAAATCTAAATTTACAAGTGGCATAAAGTAGGTCCTTGATTCAGTCACTGAACATTTTCCAACTTATCTCCAACATAAAGTAATGGAAGAGACTTAAAATTGGAGAAGGCCTATACATTGATCATTACTCTAGCTCTGACTGACTGAGAGGTTCCCCAATGTCTGGATAACATCAAGGAATAACTTTTATGCAGAAATGTTCACTGGGATCAAGCCACAAACTTTTCAACAGAATTTCCTGGTATGACATTGGAGTTGGGGTATCCAGTTTTCTGTGCTATGTGGTTGCAGGCAATAATAATTTGACTAAAAAGAAGAAAATACTATTGGAACTATTAAAAAACAAACAAAAAAAACCAAAAAATGGCCCCAGCCATGTGGCTCAGTGGTTGAGCATTGACCCATGCACCAAAAGGTCACAGGTTCGATTTCCAGTCAGGGCACATGCTTGGGGTGCAGGCTCAATCCCCAGCAGGGGACATGCAGGAGGCAGTTGATCCATGTTGAGGCATTGATGTTTCTATCTCTCTCTCCCTCTCCCTTCCTCAGGATAGCTGCCTTCAGGAACATGAAGTTAGGATGCTTTACCCAAGTCCTCATTGCAATGTATTTTGAAATGAAACATTCAATTCTCAGCTGACATCCAGATTTTCCTTACTCTATGCCAACCCATCTTTTTCAAGGAATGCTTTCCTTATATCTGGCAGATAGGAAATATTAGGGCTTGAGATTAGCAATATACTTTCTTTAAAAAAAATTTTTTTAATCCTCACCCAAGGATATGTTCTTATTAATTTTTAGAGAGAGAGAAACATCAATGTGAGAAACACTGATCAGCTGCTTCTTGTACATGCCCAGACTGGGATCAAACTGCAACCTGGGTACGTGCCCTGACCAAGAATCAAACCCGCACGATTTTGGGGTACAGGATGACACTCCAACCAACTGAGCCACCCAGAGCCAGGGCAGCAATATACTTTCTTATAACCAAACTGTCCACCTGTGATCACTTCTTTTAAAGGAGCAATATACTATAATGGAAGAATGTGATTTATTTTCCAATAATGTGTTCATAAGCAACTTTTTAGGAACATAGCTCTTTTGCTAAGGTAAGAACATCTGTATTTACAACACAGATCTGAAACACCTACATGTTTTTCTGTATAACACAGCATGTTTCTCTTGGCTGAAACAATGTTTTATCTTCATATTTGAGCAGGAATTTATAAATAGGTCGCTCGTGGTATTTCAGTCAGAAGAACTATTTAGCCATTAGATTTGTTTTAGGGAAAACAGTGAAGTGTAACAGCATAAAATATCATGCTCTTTTTGCTTTGGCACATGCACACAAAGTTACCATCTGAAGTCTTCTTTAGTTCAGTTTTCAGTTTTTCCTTGTCTTCTACCAGTTTTTTATTTTCTGCTTCCAAAATGTGTTCCTCTTTCTTGTTATAGCTTTTCAAGAGCTATCAGAAAAGAGAGTTATAGAAGTGAGCTTAGATTGCAATAGCCAGACATTCTTCCAGGAAATGGTCTGAGTAATGTATTTAAAATTATTGGTCTATTTTATTCTTTGTCTTTTTTGTATTTTATAATTTTCTACAATGGGATTCTGCTAACATAAACGTGACATTTGGCAAACACACATAAATTTCTCCTTACAATGGTTAAAATCTCAAATGAAAATAAGAGGTTCTGGTTGGGCTATGATTAAAGTCGTATTTTCAAAAGTATTTAGGTAAATAATGTGCATATATTTTTATCAATTAAATGTAATGAAAATCCAAGTTAAAAAAACACAGATCTAAGGCTATTAATTAGGAGATCATTATATTCCAGTTACAGAGCTGCAACCTGGGTTACTCAGACTATTTTCAAAAAATCTTTATTGTTGAAAGTATTACATATGTCTCTCTTTTTACCCCCCATTGACCCCTTCTAGCCCGCCCTGCCCCACACCCCAGGCTCAGACTACGTTTATAAAGGTGGATTTGTATGAGAAGAATATAATGTTGTCAGGGGGGAGTGAGTAAGTAGAAAATGAAAAGGACATCTCTATGCTTGGAAAATTCTTTCTAATTTTCATTGACCAGTCTCCAAATTAATTTTATTCAGTTAATCCTTTATGATGCTCTTCATATTTTAAAATCTATTCTGGCTTTTAAAATGTTTATATTTCTAGCTTATCCTTTCTAGGTAAGAAAAATTAAAATCTGAATAGTACGGTAAAATATCTGACTAAAATAAAAATATAATTGTGGTGAAAGCCTGGGGTGGGGTGAGAACCAGGTAGAGGGAGACAATGGGGGGGAAATGGGGAACATCTGTAATACTCTCAACAATAAAGATAAATATAAAAAATTTTAAAAACTTAAAAAAATAAATAAAATAAAAACATAAGGGAGTAAAAATTTCATGATCTGTATGTCTGGATGGAAACTACCATTGTTAATAGACTAAGAAGTTGACAAGTAAAGAAATTTTAAGAAATTTAAGTTACTGAGAGGGGAAATTAATATTTGAAAAATAAAATATGTACACACTGTCTGATACTGACAGTGTTCATAGGTGAAAAAGCAACATAGGACAATTTTAAACAGACTGACATAGAAAAGAATTTCTATTGCAGATGGTTCCTTTTCTAATGTAAGCTGGTATATTCAACAAACAAAATGTTCTACTGAGCACTGACTACATGCAAATTTTTACAACAGTAGGGTTATAAAGGATAAAAATGTAGAAGAAATATGATCCCTGCTTTCAGGTAACTTCAATTTAGTGAAAAGGATGAGACAAGAGCATACTGTAGCACAAGATCAAATACAGTACTTTTGTGTTATAAGAGAGATTAGGCAGCTCAGGAGGAATCAAAGCTCTACTAAGTATATTATATAAGCCCAGTAAATTGTATTTAGGAGATAAGAAGGCTGAAATACACACAACTGAAGAGGACTTTTACTTTCAAAATTAAAAAAAAAATTTTAAATTAAAGAGCAAAAATAAGACCAAAAATTTTTTCTTCAAATCTCTATGAATTTGTTGCCCATATTCAAATTCGAAACAATCCTCATTGTTGCTTCACTGCTTTTAGGTCACAGAGTCTCCAGTAATTGGAAGGGAACCATGGAGTTGTAGGAATGTTTATCACACTGACTGCTTAAATTATTATGCCATTTACTTGGAAAAGTTGGATGTGTGCTGGTCTTGTAAATAAGCTTTCATTACTGCACCTGTAAACTTGTCCGAATTTATTGTGTGTGACTTGATGCTAGAGAAACTGAAATATGAAATTCAACAGCTACCAGCTACAATAATGCATGTGTTCACTGTCCTACACACCTTATCCCATCTTGGTAAGGGATTTGAAAAAAAAACTGGTCAGAAGTAAAGCTCCATCACTGTTGTTATTTTAAAGCAATTAAAAATTAATTGGTCTTTCATAATTATTTCATTTAATTAAGTGACTATCAGAACACAAAAGGGTCTCAGGCACCATCAAAAGGGACATAATAGGCTAGCTACCAGTGAAGGGACAAAGCAACGTGGTTAAGAGTGGATTCTTAGTTTTATCACTTAGTGGAATGTTTTTGTGCAAGCCACTTCACATTTTTGTGCCTCCACTTCCTCATGTACAAAATGCACATAACAACAGTATCAACCTCATGGGGTTATTGCACAAATTAAGAGTTAATACCTCACTGTAAAGCATTTGAAGCGATACCCGGCACCCGTTAGCTATTATTTATGACCTTGAGGTCCAGAACACATGAGGTGATTTGCCCTAAGTAACAATGCTCATTATTTGGTAGAGTTGGGACTAGTACCTAAGTCTCTTAGATCCCAGGGTAATATACTTTCCATTAGGTAATGTGTCTCTGATAGAGAGTGAAGAGGTGGTTTAGCAATTTTATCCTTCTTTAACTAGTATTTAAAAACCTACATGAATGAAATATCTTGAAATAAAAGTCATCTTTGACATTCTGACCTAAGGCCTTTCTTGGTCACTTAGATGCACTTTGGGCACTGACAGAGTTTGTGTCCAGCTCACAGACTTTCTCTCCACTATGTACTGATTTTAGCCCAACATACTTGTGTATCTCTAATGATCTAAGACCACTGATTGGGTCAGAGATATGCAGGAAGCAGGGAACCAGGACAGCATGGAACCAAAAGTAAGAAAAACAACAAAAGAAAAAAATGTGGAGGATCAAAGAATCAGCAGTCATAAAATAAACTTCCTTGCAATAGTAACTGGGTCTGAAAACAATTCCAAAAATGTTTTGAGGAAGATGCTTTCTTTGAAGGACAAGACTAATTTAAGTACATTAATTATGATGTATATAAGAAAAATAATAGTACCAAAACTTTACAAAAACACTTTACATTTCCTTAGAGCTAAAGAGTAGGAAGAAAATAACTGAAGGATAGGAGTAGTAGCTACAACTCATCAATCTGACATGATGGGCATAATGTTAAATCAAGAGAGGCACACGGTTAGACTACAAAGACAAGGCTGCGTGTTGTGAGGTTAGCCTTCATATTAATTAAAACTTTGAGGATTTTGTTTTCTTTTTACCATTGGGAAATAAGATCAAATGATAGAAAATGAAGCAAGCCAAGGCCGGTTTGGCTCAGTGGATGGAGCGTCGGCCTGCGGACTGAAGGGTCCCAGGTTCGATTCCGGTCAAGGGCATGTACCTGGGTTGCAGGCGCATCCCCAGTGGGAGGTGTGCGGGAGGCAGCTGATCAATGTTTCTCTCTCATTGATGTTTCTGGCTCTCTATCTCTCTCCCTTCCTCTCTGTGAAAAATCAATAAAATATATTTTTAAAAAAAAAGAAAGAAAATGAAGCAAGTAATATTAAGGTACAAAATGAGGCTCATTCTGTTGCTGAAACAGTCTCTCCCAAAAAGGCAAAAATAACTGATAGCTTGCTTTTATATTCAGAAATATCAACAGCTTGACTTCCCAGACCTATATTTACTACAAAGGGAAATTTACATGACATCTGTGAATCAATGCCTTTTAAAATAGAACAAAACAGAGTGAAAAATAAACTAACGCTTATTCTCTAAAAGTTTCCTTTAAAGATGCTGGATACAACTAAGAAACATTTTTTAAATTCTATTTCTATAAAAATACCTTTTTGACCCTGGTTGGTGTGGCTCAATTGGTTGGAGTGTCTTCCCATACACCAAAAAGTTGTGAGTTCAATTCCTAGTCAGGGCACAAACCTAGGTTTTGGATTCAGTCCCCAGTTCGGGTGCGTGCAGGAGGCAACCAATTGATATTTTACTCTCACACTGATCTCTCTCTCTGAAAAATCAATTAAAAAAATCAAAAAAATATATACCTTTCTGTTGTAGTGAAAATAAGGTAGACATCAACAAATGTAAAAGAGGGTTTTGAGTAGGTGACCATGACACTGCAGCACCAAGCAGAATTTTTTGAAATGAGTTTTGACTTATTTAATAGGTTTTAGGAAGTTTTATATTGTACTCTGCAATACCTAACTCATTTAGATTTGATGAAAGGTGGTGCTTATAGTTCTTTCTATAAGAGGCTAGGCTTTAGGACTTGGATAAGGATTTGAATTCTCTGTCAGACTTTTTACATAAATACAACTTGGTCTAACATATAATTGATTGTTTGCATTTCATTAATCTACAATAGGGAAATAATCTTATTGCATTATTTTAGGAATGCTTTCTTTGAGAAAATCTGTTTTGCATCTGATTGGTTCCACTGATTCTTTTTACTGAAAAGCAGAATTAGCAAAACATAGGGCTTAATCTGAACTGAAAACCACTTACATGTGAGATCTGAGTTCTAAATTTTAAAATTAAGAAAAAAAAAATGCCCAAAGTAATTTTGTATCTTTCCTTTTTTCCATTTGTTCTTCTTTTTCTCCCTCCACATCCCCCACCCCACAAGCCTCCTTGGCCTCAGAGGTAGTGTTCAGGGGCCCTGGACATGGAGATATTCTCCCTTTCCATCTAACTGGTTCTTTTTAAAAAATATACATTTTTATTGATGTCGGAGAGGAAGGGAGAGGGAGAGAGACAGACACATCAATGATGAGAGAGTATCATTGATTGGATGCCTCCTGCATGGCCCCTACTGGGGATCGAGCCCACAATCCAGGCATGTGCCCTTGATGGGAATCGAACCTGGGACCCTTCAGTCCGCAGGAAATGCTCACTACTGGGAAACACATGGCCAGAGCAAGCAAATGCTCTTTTTGAAAAACAATATACCACCCCTTGGGAATATTAACATTTACACAAATTTTTAAAAAGAAAATTTAAATACCTGTTTTAGCTTTTCATTCTCTTTCATGAAATTTCTGGCAGCCTCGTTAGTACTTTCTGCTTGATTTTTAAGTTCTCCTTTGTTTGACATTTCATTTGCCAGCTGAGTAATAAGGGTAACCAGACGTCTCAATACTCTAAGAAAATAAAAATAAAAACGTTAAAATAAATAGTCTTGGTCACACAACTCTTATTTAGGTATAGTGGTAGAGAGAGATGATGGTTAAAGAGGACATATTAAAAAAAAATCCAAGTCTTCCAGTCAAAACACGCCTGTTTCTCATTTATTTAGAATCTTTGTTAGAAGACTAGCATTTGGAATATAGATTCAATAGTACTTACTAATTTAATAATTTTCTTTGTAGAGGCCTCTAGCCAGGAGGAGGAGCAGAAACAGAATTTTCTGACCAGTGTGGCAGGGCCAGTAAGAAGTCCTTACCCCCCCCCCCCTCACCCCCCCATTCAAAATTTGCTATTTGAAGAGCATTGTATGAGGCTGGTCATGCCCCCCAAACTGCTCATTCACATTTATGGGTAACTCCCATTGTTAGAAGTAGTAACTAATATCTTCCATTATTCACTCAACAGACATTTCCTCAGGAACTGCTAAGTGTTAAGCACTGCTTTAGGCCCTGGGAACATAGCAAGAACCGAGACAAAGTCCCTGTTCTCAAAAGGTTCTATTTGGAGAAACAAGAGTTAAAATGAAAGAATGAATGATATTCCAAAGAAAAGTATATATACAGTCCAAGGGAGTGTGCAAGAGACCTACTTACTTTGGGGGAAGTGATGGTCACAGAGGCTTCCTTTAGAAAGAGACTGAAGGATGAAAAGTTAGTCAGGGAAAGAGGGAAGAGAAAAAGAAAAAACAGGTGTGAAGACCCTGAAATAGGAAGGAACTGGGGACATTATTAGTAACTCAATAAATATTCGTTGCAAGAATGAATGAATGACACTGGAGGTCAGTGTGGGAGGAATGTGGTGTACATGTCAGAGAACAGTATGAGAGAAGGCTCCAGAGAGGAGCCAGATCATGCAGGACTTACTAACCTTTCAAACCTACAAGCTATAACTATTGCTTGTTATTTATTTGGGTATATAGTCTGAATTCTTTTTTTTTTTAATATATTTTATTGATTTTTTACAGAGTGGAAGGGAGAGAGATAGAGAGTTAGAAACATCGATGAGAGAGAAACATCGATCAGCTGCCTCCTGCACATCTCCCACTGGGATGTGCCCGCAACCCAGGTACATGCCCTTGACCGGAATCGAACCTGGGACCCTTCAGTCCGCAGCCGACGCTCTATCCACTGAGCCAAACCGGTTTTGGCAAGTCTGAATTCTTTTATGAAGATGTTAGTATACTAAATATTATGGAAAAAAACCTATTGTGTTGGTTAAAAAATGAGAAACATAAATTATGTTTTTAAATTGTTTCTGGTATTTTGTTGTTTTTTTTTTTTGTTTTTTTTTTTACTTACAGCCAAAAAAATAATGAAAATCCAGAAATGTAAAGATTTCTTTGAGACCTAAAAAGTTTCATCTGTGTATGTTCATGGGCACCAGGTCTGCTGGATGAGCTCTTTTCAATGACAGCAGTAGAGGAATATTTCCTTACTTCTCTCACAGCATCTATTAGAGAAGAGAAAACATTACTTTTAACAATATAAAATTAACCTTTGCCGGTGTGACTCAGTTGGTTGAGTATCATCCCATGCACTGACAGATCACTAGTGCGATTCCCAGTCAGGACACATGCCTGGGTTGCAGGCTCCATCCCCAGTAGGAGGCATGCAGGAGGCTGCCATCAATCTATGTTTCTTTCCCTCTCCCTTCCTCTCTCTCTCTCTCTCTCTCAAAAAAAAAAAAAAAATAAATCAATGAAACATATTAAAAAAATAAAGGAATATAAAATTATAATAAAAATGGGAAGCAGTTTTAGAGTAACTAACCTAACTTCTAAATGATGGACTTCAGGTAGGGCTGTTTTTTCTTTTCCTCTACATTCTTGGGAGAGTACCATGCTCAAAACAGATGATCTGTACGTGGATACTAGTGGTAATCCTTGAATGTAACAGCATTTTTGTTTTTTACTATTCATCTAGGACTCATCATCATTGTACCATCTCTCATCTCTAGCTACACTGAAAACTATTATCCTTTATTCTTTCTATACCTAATGGTTCACTAAATTTTAATCTATTGACAATAACATATAGGTCATATCCCACTACAATTAATTCTGAGACTATCCTACTTCTCTTATTGTACTAGCATTTTATGATGTCATTTTGTTGATGGTTTCCTTTGCTGTGCAGAAGCTTTTTAGTTTCATGTAGTCCCACTTGTTGATTTTCGCTTTTGTTACCTTTGCTCTTGGTGTCAAATCCAAAAAACCACTGCCAAGACACTTACCACCTATGCTTTCTTCTAGGACTTTGATGGTCTCAGGTCTTAAGTTCAAGTCTTTAGTACATTTTGAGTTAATTTTTAAAATTTTATTTTTCAATTACAGGTTACATTTAATATTATTTTGTATTAGTTTCAGGTGTACATTAAAATAATTTTCATATGGTATAAGAGAATGTTCCAGTTTTCCCAACATCATTTATTAAGAGATTGGCCTCTCCCCATTGCATATTCTTGGCTCTTTTGTCGTAAATTAATTGAACATATATGTGTGGGTTTATTTTTGGGCTCTCTGTTCTGTTCCATTGATCTATGTGTCTGTTTTTATGCCAATACCATAATGTCTTGATTATTACTATAGCTTTGTAATATAGTTCGAAATCAGGGAGCATAATACTTTTTTATTTATTTGAGAGAGAGAGAGAGAGAGAGAGAGAGAGAGAGAGAGAGAGAGAGAAAAACATTGACTTGTTATTCCACTTATTTATGCATTCTTGTATATGTCCTGACCAGGGATTGAACTCGCAACCTTGGCATACCGGGATGATGGTCTAACCAACTGAGCTATCCAGCCTGGGCCATGATGGCTCCAGCTTTGTTCTTTCTCAAGACTGGTTTGGCTATTTGGGTTCTTTTGTGGTTCCATACAAATTTTAGCATTGTTTGTCCCATTTCTGTAAAAAATGCCATTGGGATTTTGATATTGTACTGAATCTAAAAATTACTTTGGGTATTATGAACATTTAATAATATTAATTTTACAACCTATGAGCATGAAATCTTTTCATTTATTTATTCAATTTTTTCATCAATGTTTTATAGTTTCCAGTGTACAGGTCTTCCACCTTTGTGGTTAAATTTATTCCCAGGTATTTTCTCTTTGTTACAATTATAAATGAGTTGTTTTTTTTCTTTATCCTCAGTCAAAGATATTTTTTTCCCATTGATTTCAGAGAGAATGGAAGGGAGGAAGGCAGAGGGGGAAGGGAAGGGAATAGGAGAAAGAGAGAGACAGAGAGAAACATCAATTGGCTGCCTTATGCAACCAGGTACATTCCCTGACCAGGAATCAAACCCGAGACCTTCTAGTGCATGGGATGAGGCTCTAACCCCCTGAGTCACACCAGCTTGGCATAAATGAGGTTTCCTTAATTTCTCTGATAGTTTGTTATTAGTGCATAGAATGTAAATTTCTGCATATTGATGTTGTTTCTGGCAATTTTACTGAATTCATTTTTAGTTCCAACAGTTTTTGTGTGTGAAGTCATCAGGGTGTTTTCTTTTTATGTTTAACATTTCTTTTTTTAATATGTTTTTATTGATTTTTAGAGAGAGAGGAAGACAGAGGGAGAGATAGAAATACCAATGAGAGAGAAACATCAGTGTGCTGCTTCCTGCATGTCCCTATTGGGGATAGAGCCTGAAACCCTGGCATGTGCTCTGACTGGGAATCAAACCATGACATCCTTGTTCATGGGTCAACCGCTGAGCTATACCAGCCAGGAGGGGGTAGCTTTTTCATAACTTCCTATAATTCTATGAAAACTGGTCTTAAATTTTCTAGATATATTAGGATTCATTTGGTAAATTATATTTTTTCTGCAAAATTACACATTTTATGTTTTCCATTTGTTTGCCTTCTAAATATATAAAATGGTTTTAAATTACCTTTTAAAAATTTCCTTGGTTTTAATAGTTATTTCCCTTTGTCATTTCTCAGATTGCCTCAATAAGATAGTAAGAGCATTCTAACCACTACAATATAACTAAAAACACAAAACAGTATTTATGGATTATTCGGAGCGGCCAGAGGAACCAAGGCACTTCAAGGGCCATTATGCTTGCGATTCAGCTTCCTCCAAAATGAAACGGAAGTATAATCCTGGGTTCATTACCCAGAAATGCTGAAAATTAACCAATAAAGTCAAAGAAGTTTATAAATGTGAATGGTCACACAAACCCACCCATAGAATAAATCACCTGTACAATAACTAGGAGACTATGTCTGAAAAGTAGAATGGGGGCCACAATAAGGTGAGGTTTGGCGTATAGTCAATTTTCTATAAACCATGTGGAGACCGTCTTTTTTGGGTCATTCGTGGAAACTTTCAAATTCCTGGGATGAATTTCTACTGACACTAAACATATTCCTGGGTTTTTTGCCTCCCTTCTGCCTATTCTCAACTGTGAAAACACACATAGATGCACATACACTTTTGACTTGGTATTGGCTCTAGGAATATAAATAAATATCTTGTAATGATTACCTTACTGAAGACAAGCAACAAGAAAAATGAAGTAAATTCCAAAGTAAAATATAAATTAAGCTTGAGTAACTAGTTTTGTATTTACCCCACTGCCATTCTAGTGATAAGAACACTGGATGATGTACTTTACTCACGTTACTGCCTTTAAACCTTCCAACACTTCAGGGAAGTAAATGTTATTACCCTATTCTCAGATGTAAACACTGAGGCTTAAAAGGCAAGTCCCTATCTGCCTGCCTTTGCCATCCATGGTTTCCCTATTCTCTGGGAATTTCGCACTCTGCCCACCGATGTGAGCTACAGCCAACAGTCATGATTTGGGATTCAGAAACGGCTGCCAAGTGATAACACTTGGCAGTTGTGTGGTGGCCATTTCCTGCTTTGGGAATAGTCCGTGGAGATGAGGAAAAATGAAGCAGACCAGGGAGAAGCGCAGGGACACAAGGACACTTCAGTTCCTACTAGTTCCTACCTGGAATCTGGCTTCCTCCCTTCCCTGGCTTGCTCTGAAACAACCCCGTATTTTATTATCAATTCCCCCTTCTTGCTCAAATGAGTTCAAACTGGTTTCTGATAAAAGCAACCACAAGAACCATGACTAAAGCTCCCCTTCCTTATACGGGTATGTGGCAGTTTTCAGTAGAAATTCTTGTGATAATTTTAGAGTTAGATCTCAAAACACTTCAGAGCTAGTAAAAGCTGCAGAGACCATCTCCTTCTCTCCCTTTACTTTGCAAACAGATAAACCAAACTCAGAGGAAAAGCCATTCCAAAGGACAGTTAGTTAGCTGGTGACAAAGTGGGACCTGTTTTCCCTATTGTTTACTCACTTGGGGTCACTCTGGAGATTAAATTGATAACATTAACAATTATGTACCATGAGACAAATACTGACATTTCTGAATGAGGCAGGAATCCATTCACACCCGGATGCAATTACCTAGTCATACCCTCTCAGTTGGTCCCAGGCTTATTAAAAGGATTCCATTTCAGAGGTTGGTGTGATGGCATGTAGGAAACATTTCCTCACAAAACTGTGGCATACATGGTGGTTATGGTTCCAGGTTGGCCCTTGTAAAACTTAACCTAAAACACAACACCTCTTTGGGAATTCTGAGGCAAAGCATACTCTGCAGTGCATATTAAAAGCTGAAGTGCCATCCCTGGCCGGGTAGCTCAGTTGGTTAGAGCATCAGCCCAATAAGCCAAGATTGTGGGCTTGATCCCTGGTCAGGGCACATGTAAGAAGCAACCAATGAATGCATAAATAAGTGGAATAACAAATCGATTTCTCTCTCTCTCTCTAATTAATCAATACATTTTTTTTAAAAAGCTGAAGTGCCAAGAAGTAGCTGGGTGGTCAGACAAGTTACTTAATCCTCTAAGCTCAGCTACTTCTTCTACAAAATATAATTATTTAGACTCATGGACTTTCTGGTTTGACAAGAATTTTAAGGGTTTACATTTAATATCTAAGATACCTGTTATCATGAAAATTTCAAACATGCTGAAAAGCTGGTATAATAAATAACCATATTTCCACCACCTAGATTCAATAATTGCTTTTTCCCACAATTGCTTTATGTCTTAATTTTTTAACCATTTGAAATTAAGTTGAAAATATCATGACACTTGTAATATTTTAGCATATAGCTTCTATAAATAAGGACATATTCCTATAACAGGTGTTGGTAAACTTCTGTAAAGGGGCAGATAGTGAATGCTTTTGGCCATATGCTGTGTCTGCTGCAACTCTCCACTCTGTAGTTGTCCAGGGAAACATGCATAGACAATATATAAACAAATGGGCACGGTTATATTCCACTAAAACTTTAATTTCCAAAATTGGCATTTGTTCTGCAGACTGTAGGTTACTGACTTATGCTATATAACAACACTGGTATCACAATAAGGTTAACAAAAATTCCCCAATATTCTCTAACAATCAGCCCATATTCAAATTTTTGCAGTAGTCCCCAAATGTCTATGTTGTAGTTGTTTTTCAACCAGGATCCAATCAAGATTCACAATCTGCATCTAAGACTTCTTTTGAGGGCCTGATGATTCTATTCCTCTATGCCTCCCTGACAGCTAAGCCCCTGGTGCCTAGGACACCACAGTTAGAAAGGGTTGTATAGCTGGCATCTCTGAAAAGTGGGCTATACATGGGTATACTTAAATCTCCAAACAACTTAAAAGAGGCCAAGGACCACTGTACTCTGTTGAAATTTATGCTTCTGCATGTATAATAGTAATATCTATTAACTGTCTATATACAAATATCAATATCTGCTCTCTATATTGTCAATATACTATACAAAGTTAACTGTGTATCAACAGCAACACCGACTTAATTAAAAAACAATGAATTCATTAATAAAAATTAGAGTAAGCTTATTCAAAGGAGGAATCTAGTACTTACCTAGAAACAGAACAATCAATAGGACTATAATAGAAAGAAAAGCCTTGTTCCAAAAAGTTGCAATTTTACCCCAGACATTAAATGAAAAAATCTTCTGCCATCTGTAAAGCAATACAATTACATTAGGTATAAAAATATCAAAAGAATGTTTTGAAATATTTTCTGAATACTGAATTGACATTTTGGTAATTATTTAGTAAGTAAAAAGAATAACAGAAATTTATTTTATGTCATATCAGAGCATTATTAATTCATAAGAACATCTCATAAAATAAAGAACTTCTTCCAAATTTAATAATAACCTGACATTTGATTATCTTCTGTCTGGTAGCTTAAATATTGTACAGTGAAAATAACTTAAAGGCAAGACACATGATTAAAATCTCAAAAAGGAATTATTATAGTAAAATGTTATATTGCTGATAGAAGCTACCACTTTGTATCTTTTCCCTAATCAGGGTAATAACTCTGAAATAACAAATATTGGTCCAACAATTAGCAACATTTGAGGAGTGAGGGGTCCAACTCTCTAAACTATTTATTTTTTAAACTATTTTTACAGAGTACAATTTAACACTTACACCAAGTAAAAGACTTTCCCTACTTTTACCAGGAATTTCAATAATCATTGAGGTATTACATACACATAGCAAAGTGCAAAAATTTTAAATATATGGCTTGATGAATCTATACACACATATATATGTATACACCCACGTAGTTACCACAATCAAGATTTAAACATAGAGGAAATAAAATGGGGTAATAAATAGTCTAGGATGGATGAATTAAAAGGTATAAACAAAGACATAGAGGTAAGAATGTATGGATTATAAATGACAAAGAGTGACAAAGTAACATCACACAATTGAAAAGGTAACAAATTTTGCACAAGGGCATTTGAAATGAATAACACATTTAATGATTCCAAATATATACACACGCGCGCGCACACACACACACACACACACACACTAATAAAAGGGTAAAATGCTCATTAGGGCGGACATCTTCCAGACGTCCATCCGGACAAAGCCTCAGCGGCTGCAAGGCCCAGGGCTCAGGCCTCACAGTCGCTGTGGCCGGCAGTGGCAGCAGCAGCGGGGTGATGGGGGCGGCGCCTTCCCCTGATCAGCCCAGTCGCCTACTGCAGAGGGAGGCCAGACTGTGGCTTAGACCCACTCCCTGTGGCCTAAGCCATCAGTTAGACATCCCTTGAGGGCTCCCGGACTGTGAGAGGGGGCAGGCCAGGCTGAGGACCCCCTCCTCAGTGCACAAATTTTCATGCACCAGGCCTCTAGTGTGTATATATATATATGTGTGTGTGTGTGTATACACACACACACACACACACACACACACATATATATATATATAGACACATATCTATATATATAAAATCCTAAGTGACCATTACGACCAGTTGACGGGTGGCTATGATGCACACTGACCACCAGGAGGCAGATGCTCAACGCAGGAGCTGCCCCCTGGTGCTCAGTGCACTCCCACAGCCAACCTCCCGCGGTCCCTCCCCGCTGGCCAGCTGGCCCTGATTGGCCCTGATTGCTGGCCAGGCTGAGGGACCCCACCTGTGCACGAATTCGTGCACCGGTGTGTGTGTGTGTGTGTGTGTGTGTGTGTGTGTGTGTGTATATATATATATATATATATATATATATTTATATGAAATAAACACCTAAGTAAACTTAAAACACAACTTTTAAAAAGTTTTACTTTAAGATTATGACAAATTGTTAATTAATGAGTTTTGAAAACAACTCTAAGTAATAACTTGAAGTTGGTGGGGAGAAGAAGACTGATATAAATTAAAGTGTTTTTTGTTGTGTTTTTTTTTTTGTCTCTGAGCTTTCAATTCCAAGGACTATTTAAATTTTACATGATAAAAACTTTATTTTTAGAAAATATAAAGTGGCAATACCTTGATCAAGGTCCAAATGTAAATTCACATTTCAAGGGCCAGTGTTAAAAGGAAACACAAAAAACATCCCTACAGGGAACAACTAGCAGTTTATATTAACACCAAATTCAAGGAACAGTTAATAATAGGTACCATATATTGAGTCCTTGCTATACTATGGTTCTAAGCATTTTTACATGTCTTAGCTAATTTTATCACCACAACCACTATATAAGGTGGATACCAGTATTACCTCCATTTTACAAATGGGGAAACTGACTAGGGATGGTAAATCACTTGCCCAAGATCATGGAGTAACTTGCAGAGTTGGGATAGAAACCAGCAGTCTGACCGTTGAGTATATGTCTACTAGTGCGTTATGTGAGAAAAGAGTAGAGAGCCAAATGAAATAAAGACTGAAGACTTTGAAGATTATGGTGAGCCCTGGCCAGTGTGACTCAGTTGGTTGGGCATCGTCCCATGCACCAAGCGGTTGCCGGTTTGATTCCTGGTAAAGGCACATACAGGAGGCAGCCAATGATATGTCACTCTCACATCGCTGTTTCTCTCTCTCTCTCTCTCTCCCTCTCTAAACCTCAATAAAAATCTTTAAAAAGAGATTATGGTGATACACATATAAAAGATAAAAAGATGGAGATACACACAATAAGGACGTATTATAAACGACATGTGCACTAATATACCACATTTTGTCATGTATAAGAGGGTATATTTATGTAATGTGTGCATATATACACACATCTATCAAATAGCTACTTGATCAGGATGGGAAAAAATTATACTTGGAAGAAAAAGATCCATAATTTATGGTCATTTTGATGGAGAAAAGATAAACTGACAAAAAATTTTTTTTGCAAGTCCTTGCTAGTATTAGCAAAAAAGCTCAACAGGGTGTTATTAAGGATTAGAAACCAAATCAAGCCCGGCCTGCATTGCTCAGTGGTTGAGCATCGACCTATGACCCAGAAGGTCACAGTTCCATTCCCATCAGGGCACATGCCTGGGTTGCAGGCTCAATCCTCCAGGCAGGGAATGCAGGAGGCAGCCAATCAATGATTCTCTTTCATCATTGATGTTTCTCTCTCTCTCTCTCCTTTCCTCTCTGAAATCAATAAAACTTTATTAAAAACAGAAAGAAAGAAACCCAATCAAGGTGATGACAGGTAGGTAGGATGGAGTAGAAAGAGCACTAGACTGAAAGCTAGATTTTTGTCTGGAATCTTCCATGGATCAGCTAGACCACCTTCCTTACAGATAACTGGTTTGGATACAACTATCCCTAAGGCCTTTTCCTACAGTATGATTCAATCTCTTTTCTTTAGTAAGAAAGAAAAAAGTGATGGTATCACTGGCTTAAACTGAAGTGAGTAGAAAGCCAGGTAGGTAAGAAACAAGTTAAGAGTTGTGAAAGACTACCTGAACCCTGAGCCAAGGTAAAAACTTGCTTACGTCTCTCCCGGTCATGGGATCTTACTAAAAACTCCAGCGGGTCATCTCTAGGATTTCATTTATGCAAGATTTTCTTTTATGCCACGAGTACGAAAAAAGGTGTTGTAACATTTTTATTACAAGTGTATTTCACCATTCATGCTAGCAAGTTTCTGGATCTAAAACTGAACTCCCAACAGATGGATTATCACAGGGTAAAGGGAGGCAATGCTTCATTTACAATAGTCAGTGCGTAAAGGCCTCCGAAGGTCCTTTCCTAAGGAACTAATGCTAATTAGTGGGCGCCGGCTCGGATACTTTTCATAACCAGCACTTTCAACTTACATCCATCAATTCTGTGTGTGGGGAAAAGTAGTGAAATTACAATTAAACATTATGGAAACTATTTATTGGTTACATGGGCCAAAACTAAGCATCATGTATCGGCTGTGGTTTCTGCATTGTCATGTGACTGCCCCAGTGAGACACTTTGCACCCACGTGAGTCACCTTTTACGCATCTGCCTTCATTCAGTCCACTCTTCCAATTCAGGGCGATAAAACAAAGTGGAACTTGCTGACAAGACAGGTGGCAAAAGCATGACCTTTATTATATCTGTAATCAACAGAAACCACAGGACTTGCCCCTCTCCTTCTAGAAGGGAGGTGGGAAAGTTAATTCATTCGTATGTTTAACAAAAAGTTTCATCTAGTGATGTTTTAATATTGCCATTCTATATTTATAATTTTGTTCCTTTACTCTCAACCTGTGGGTCGCGACCCCTTCACAAGGGCTCGCCTAAGACCATCGGAAAACACATATATAATTACATATTGTTTTTGTGATTAATCACTATGCTTTAATTATGTTCAATTTGTAACAATGAAATTGGGGGTCACCACAACATGAGGAACTGTATTAAAGGGTCGCGGCATTAGGAAGGTCGAGAACCACTGCTTTAGAGTTTATTTAGAATACACCTTTTATACAATCAGCACTCAAAACTTTTAAATTTTATAAAAAAATTGTTCCCGAATCACACTTAACAGACCTACGGGGAGGCTACATACTTATTT